CAGGTAGCCAAGTGATGGCGGGAACAAAATAAAGAACACAGACTAAGCTAAGCCACAGCAAAAACAACAAAATTACATTTTTAAAGCGCCTTTCCCGTACCAGTGATTACAAATTATATAGCTATATTTATCATTATAAAGATGCCTAAGTGAAAATCAAACCTTTCAAGGATAAGCAAAAATCCTAGACAAAAGAAAGAAGGCCCATTAAATGAAACTGACGAACAAACAACAGCGCAGCTGCACTTCAAAGCTGAAAATTAGTTGCCCACTCAAAGAACAGCAAAATATATAAGGTGCTATATCAAATGCAAGGATTATTATTATTATTATGTAGTTCTTAAATTCAAATTCACAATCTTTCAAGTATTCAGTATTCGGGGCTCCACCAACTCCCACAAGGACTCTTCACATAATATTGGCAAACAAGTGAAATGACAAATCGTCCCATTAAATCTGTGATCATAACGCCCTTTGTCAGTGGTTTTAGCTCATAACTCCACGAAAGCTGCATGTTTGCCCTTTTTGACCATTCAGACCCGACCCCACATGAAGACCGCTGTATAAAAGTTGTTGTTGTTATTGTATATCTGCTGTAAATGTACAAGGACAAACGGTAGATTGATTCACTCCAATGTCTAAGCAGTTTCAACATGAAATCCAACCATATTATATTTGGCAAAGGTTCTGATTGGTTACTGTCTAATTACCTCTGGATAAACATTCAGGGGTCAAATTTGTGGTATTGCTAAACTCATCGCATTCCTTAACTAAGGAATGCGGCTAAAATGTGTTTGAAATACCGCCTGACTTCTGAATAACAATAGATATCAAAGCAAACTGAAAAGCCGGAATGTTGAATTACACTTAGTGAAGCTGCTGTTTTGGACACTGGCAGCATTCTTTCAGAGGTCGCTTTGCAGCATATCAACAGCAACAACCACTTGCATTTCTATACCTCCCTTCATGTAGGGGAACGTCTCAAAGCACGTATCAACTTGTTTAAGCCGTCACCCTGTAAATCAACATTGAGAGGCCCTAATGCAGGACCAAAAACTTCAACCCAGCCCCAAAAGCACTTGCGACTTAGGTGCAAACCCTGGACTGTCACGGGGCCTACAGAATTCTTCCCAATGGGAAAATGCTCTATAAATTTGTTCCATTTAAACTCGGACTCCACTGAGCAAGAATAGTTCATCAGAACACAATAAACTGTAAATAAATATAACTTTATAGTTAAGCAGATAATTTATTCAATAAAGTGGGAATTGTGTGAGAATAATACAATCAAAGGTATTGCAGCAGGATTAGTTTTTCTCTGAGTGTCTTAAAGATTCAGTGCTCTGGATGTTATCTTCCCTCTGCGCCAATATCCCATATGAAGGCGTGTTTAAAAAAATGCAAGCTATTGCTGTTGTTGTAAAGGATAGAGGTATAATGCAGACAATGAAAGTGCTTTGCCACTTTTTTACTCATAGACTTGGATGTGCCTCTTTCAGTGCCTCTTTCAAGCTGTTCCTCAGTCAGAGTAGAAATGCTGACTCATATATGAGTAAAAACCTCCATTCGGTATTATACACATTGTCTTTGGCAGCACTAAGCAGTAATGGAATTTCCAACCATAATCACACATCATCCGAGGCACTGCATGTAACACGGAACAGAACTGTTATTGCATAATGTGGCAATATCCCAGGATCACTTCCTATTTTGAAATCCTATGGTGTCACAATATGGCTTAATAGGCAGGTTTCCTCTTGCCATCAGTATCAGCTTAAAAATCAAAGGAAAACTTTTGGTATCATGCTCCCGGTTATTTTGTAGAAGAACTCAGCCCATTCTTTTCAGTGTATTGCTGTAGGTGTTTATGTCCATTCCTGCCTGAGACCTGATTTGAAGATTCCTCAGTGTCTGTGTGGTTAGGAAGAAAGCTCTGTTCCACCTCTTTCAGTACTTCAATGAGAATCATCACACTCTCATTGTCAATGTGATTGTTCCAGATGTGTCCAGGATCCAAATAGGAGCCTCAGGGAACTGGTACAAGCAACAAGAAAATGTCATAAGAAATAAACAAATGCATTTTGGGTAAGACATCTCAATCATGTAAAGACGAGATTAAGATAATAATAATAATCCCTGCATTTGATATAGCGCCTTATCACGTCTACAAGATTTATCAAAGAGCTTAACAAAATATACTCTAAAGTGAATTGACTGTATATTTTGTGGGTGAAACATGGCAGCCAATTGCACACAGCAGTGTCCCACAAACAGCTGTGGATTGAGTGACCAAATTGTTATTTTTCTTAAGGGATTATTACCCCTGGAAAAGCAATCCACCAATCTACTAACAACCAGATTACTTCTTACTGCTAGGTAAACAGAGGCGTGGGAAGGAAACTTGCTCAACGTTTTGCCCTGCCAGGAGTCAAACCCAGGTCCTCTCGTTTGCAAGGCGAATGCTCTAACCATTAAGCTACAGGACTCCCTGTAAAGATGCAATTGCAACACATTGCAGAACCTCTTGTGCAATCAAGTGCAGCAGGGATATGATGATATAAATATGGGGTAAGATAAATACTTCTGAACATTATTCTAATTTAGGTCGGGCACTGACCAAAGTTTGGCCTAAAGTGCAGATGATCTGGTAACGTTAAGGAAAAGGTTTGTGATTTCATTAAGATTGCAACTACAGCCAAGACATGTTTTGTCTCCTGTCATAAACTTTCTGAAGAACAAATACCATGAATGTAAAGTTATGATAAACAACACTCACGTCTGGTTTTAATCTGTTTCTACCATCAATGCTTTGTAGAGAACCAAAAAATTAACAGACTGTGCTCTGCATTCACATTCATTAATTTTATTAGCAAGAAATATGCAGAGAATCGACTCATAATTCTTCTAATTCTAATCAACAGGTAGCTCAAGAATGCTGGCATCATGACTAATGTGGATTCTTTATTCAGTTCCTGCAGTGAACTACTAGCAAATTAAGAAATACTCACTTTATTTTTCTCTCTGTCTTTAAGTTTAACTAATCAAGGGGATTTGGGATGCAACCTGTTCTGTAAAACTGTTAATTCCCCTGCTGTTAAGAGCATGTATTGAGAAAAGCTCATTTGGTCTTCAGCTCATTCCTCCTCCCATCCTTGACCAATCTCTATTATGGATTCTACTGAACCCGTTCAATTGCCCACGGAGAAGTGATGCATAAATACTGCCTGATGCCCAAAGATTCATATTTTTCTAATTTTCCATTACTCAACTCAGATCTGCAAGAATACCCTCAAAAGAACATAATCCATTGCTTCCAGTGAACACTTGATCCATTTAGTCTGTATTTATCTCTTCTAACAACAATCCTTCTCTCTCCCAAATATTTATCACCCATCACCTTATAACACAACATGTTGGAATAACACAGCAACACACTGCCTCAAAGCATAGTGCTGTGTTTGGGCCAAATGTTAAACATGTAGACAAATACCTTCTTTGATAATAACTGCGTACATGTTTTGTGGTATCAATGGAGAAAGTGAAATGTGTTTCCAATCAGAGCAATACAAGTGGTAATAGGGATGTAATCGGTTCCCTAAAACTATGTCAATTTATTGGTGCCACAAATAGCCATGAAATGAATGACCATTTTTATTTTGGCCAGGACACTGGGAGAAACTCCTTTCTCGATTTGAATAGTGCGATGGGATCTTTAAACTCCACCTGAATAGGCACTGGATTTTGGCTTAATGTCTCAACCAGAGGACAGCACTTCCCACAATTCAGCACACACCTAGCACTCCATTGGAGTGTCAGCTTAGACTTGATGAGTAAATAGCCCGTCCCAATGTGGCAGCCATGTGATGATAGTGTCTGATAGTGAGCAATATTGGTCTGTAGTTTCTGGGGTCTGAGTTGGACCACTTCTTGTGGTTGGCATTATCGTTGGCGTTTTACAATTGGATGGATGCAACAATTCTGCTTGCACAAATAATTAGTTCAAGCCCTACGGCAGAACTTAAGTTTACAGTCCAGGCTGACATTTCAGTCTAGACTGAATTTTCAATCCTGGCTGAAATTTATCCCAGTGTCCTGGCCACCAATCCTCCGATTAATTGATCATTAATTTCAAGCACTCTGAAACACTACCCAATGCGACAGGTCTTATATGAATGCAAATTGTAGCTGTTGGCTTTTCTAGACCTTGCTACAGTATATGCAAATTGGTTGCCACATTTGCCCTTGTGTGCCAGTTAGTAGCATTCTCACCACCCAGTCAGAAAATCCTGGGTTCAAATGCACAAGACTTGAATTTACACTGTAGCCTGACTCCAATGCAATGCTAGGGATGCTGTATTATCGAAGGTGTCAGTCCTTAGAATGAGACATTAAACTGTCTGCCTATTTAGTTTGATATTACTTGAAAAGAGAAAAATATTTATTTCAGTGTCCTGGTCAACAATTCACAAAATAAAATCACAAGACAACTGGTCCACAAAGCCAAAAGAATCTTCACGCTGTCTTTTGAGTTACCGGATCTTTCTCAGTTTGAATCAAGTGACAAATAACAATGTTACAATTATATAGTCAGGAAGACATCTCAAAGTGCTTCACAGAGCTGACTGGGAGCCTAAATAGGGGAGGGGGGCTGAGACAGGAAGGGGAACTAAAAGCACGTATACAAAGGGAGAACTTAAGGCAGACTTTAACCGATGGTGGGGGCAAAGATAGCAGTTCTTCACTGAACCATACACATTCCAGTTTAGGACATATCACGTTGTCACCTCAGCAATGTAGTCTGTAGCCCTGTGATCTCATAATGCTTATTGAGCAATTACCTTTAATACACTTAATTAGTAAGTGCATCAGATCTACACCCGGAGCAAAGATTTTGCGGATCGATGGAAATTCTGAAGAAATTCCCTTAAAAATATGGCAAATAAGACCACAAAGTAATTGAATCATGTGTAAATAGGCAACTAGAGTTTGAGCTATAGGTAAAAAAAAATATTTTGAAATATTAATCCTTCATTGACGATCATGATCATTTCACAGTGTTGTTGTTTAAGCTTTACAGTAGATGTTATATTTCAGTTTGGCCCCCAGCTTTGTGCCTGCCAAGCACTCCTCAAACTTTGAATCCATTTCTTGGCTCTGTTCTTTGGTGAAATGATTTTTCCAGTCTCCAACTTCACCTGAAAGATTTTTAAAAATTAAATGGGTGACAATTAGGGGGTATTGGATGGTTTGCTAATGTTTTGCACTAGGTTAATCGATAAAGTCAAATTGTGAGATAGGAAACAGGAGCTGAAACTGGGGTGATTTTTTCCCTCTACTTTTAATAATAATACTTGCATTTGATATACACTTTATCACTTTGTTGAGATGTCTTAAAGCGATTTTCAGAATATATTGTAAAGTAGATTAATCGTTTTGGGGGTAAAACACGGCAGCCAATTAATAATAACAATAATAATCCTTGCATTTGATATAGCGCTTTTCACGTCGTTTACAGTCATGGATTGAGTGACCAAATTATTTTTGGGGAAGGATTATTAGCCCCAAAAAGCAATCCGCCAATCGACTAATTTACTATTACGTAAACAGAGGTATTAATAGTAATAATCCTTACATTTGCTAAGGATGCTAATAATAATAATCCTTACATTTCACAAAGTAAAGTGCCTTTCATGTGGGGAGGATATCCGAAAGCTCTTCACAGGATATACTGTAAAGTGGAAGTATATTGAATGTGTGTTTTGTAAGCAAATGGGGAGGCCAATTTGCACACAGCGATGTCCGAGCAATAAAGTGAATGATCAATTTTACTTGGGGGATTGTTGGCCAAGACACCGGTAGAAATCCCATCTCTTTTTGAACAATGCTGTGGGATCTTTAATACCTGATCAGGAAAACGGGCCTCGGTTTAACGTCTCATCCAAAGGACGGAACCTCTGACATTCGACTTTCAAAATTTGTCTTGAATTAGTTTGGACCTGCTTGACTTTTACAGGTGTGATCCTTCTCTCTCCCCAACCCACTCTTCACAATTCAGCAAAATATTTGGGAAAAAATTGAGCTTTGCCAAAATTAAACAATCACACTTGTGTAAAGCTTTCAAACATTTTGAGGTGTTCTCCTGACATAAAAGGCACTATTTAAATATAAACTGTAATAATCATAATCCTTGCATTTAATATAGCACCTTATCATGTTGCCGAGACATTTAAAAGCGCTTCACTGTAAAGTGGAGTGACTGTGCATTTTGTAATAATCATATCATCATCCTTGGATTTGAATATAACTGATGTTTGCAAAGTGCATTGGTTGCTTTTGCAGCCCACATCGAGAGTGTGGCAGACAGCATCCTCAGCACACAGCACAAATGTCTACAGACGTGATTGTCAATAAAAGCTCATCACCAGCGACAAACTACTGCCCCTTAGTGTACATTCACACAATCTGGTGATAGATTGCATTATAGAGGTTCCATTATATTTCAACATCAACTTGCATTTATATAGCAAAATATACACTCAATTCACTTTACGGTATATTCTGTGAAGCGCTTTGAGATGCCTCGAAGATGCGATAAGGCACTATACCAACTGCAAGGATTACTATTATTAGTGGTAGTATTATTAAGGCAGCTCTCATGCAGGGTAGCATCACAGAGAGTTTTGTAAGTTGAGACTCATTTATTATCCGCTGATGTACAGTAAATGGAGGACTGTTTCAAAATACAATCATGCAGAACGGACATGTATATGCAGGTTGTGCTCAGTGAATTAAAAAGCCAGACCCCAATATAGTTTGCAAAACAAAGGCAATGTGTGATAATGTTTGGTCACTCAATCGATGACTGTCCGTGGCACACTGCTGTGCGCAATTGGTTGCTGCTCAATTGGTATGTTTCACCCACAAAACATACAGTCAAATTACAGAATATTCTGTGAAGTGCTTTGAAAAGATTCGAAGATGTGATAAGGCATTATATCAAATGCAAGGATTATTATTATTGTTTATCTGCTGCTTTGTATAATAAACCTCCTTTCTCTCAAAACATTATTCCAGTGCAAATGACAAACACTTCTTCTCTTTCTCCAAAAGATAACGTTCCCCATAAGTGAGAATTCTTACTTACCTTTTCGGAAGATACATTTGCCAAATGAATAATGTGTTATCTGGGAGTTTTCACTCATGGACTTGAAGGTACCCCTTCCAGCAATTTTTTTAATCTGTTCCTCAGTCAGAGAGAAACCAAAGTGCATTGCCATCTTCTTCACACCCTCTTCTAAATTCTGAAAAAAAACATATTAACAACCACATAAAGAAATATTCTTCCTTAAAAAGTTTTTTAATATTACATTTATAGTCCTGTGAGAGGAGGGAGCCTGTCCAATGATCCTCCAAAATAAGATTGGTTATTTGTTCCATGACTTTGTGGGACATTGCTGTGTGCAAATGGGCTGTTGAATTTGCTTTCAATCACTACACTTCTCAGTAAATCCTGTGAAGTGGAGTGACTAACTGCAGGCTAACTGGAGTGTCCTCATGATGTGAAAGACACTATACTAAAGGCAGGGATTATTTATTTATTTATTTATTTACTTCGTTAGTTATTATAATATCTCTATCAGCAGAAGAAGTATGCAGGAAATCTGATTTAGTAAGCTGCTCTTCAATGCATCAAACACAAAATCCCAGCACACTCTTCAATATATATTCCTGTGAGTGATTGTGCATTCCTGACTGTGACCAGACCTTATATTTAGAATAGATAATTACTGGAATGCATTGCCTGAAAGGGTGGTGGAACCCAATTCGATGACAACTTTTAAGAGAGTAGATAATTATTTGTGGAGGATAAGTTTGCAGGGTTATGGGAAGATGGCGGGGGAATGAGATTATTTGGATAGCTCTTTTCACCGACACAATGGGTCGAATGGCCTCCCTCTGTGTTGTAGAATTCTATGATTCTATGAAGACGCTACAACAAATGCAAGGATTATTAATAAACTTGAACAGGCAGATAGGCCCTCGGTTTAACATCTTTATTGAAGGACATCACCCCTGAGAATGCAGCACTCCCAGTATTGTATTGGAGTGTCAGAGTATGATGTCAAAGTTCTTGAACCCACAAACTTCTGACTCAGAGATGAGAATGCTGTCATTTGAACCAGGCTAACAGCCTGAAGGACGACCCCTCTGAAAATGTGCAAAGATTGTTAATTTTAATGACTCAATGCTCTGTGTGATTAGGAAGAAAGCTCTTGTACCTCTTTCAGCTCTTCAAAGGTAACTAACATCACATTCTCATCATCTATGTGTTGGTTCCAGATGAACGCATGATCAAAGTAGGAGCCCCAGAAAACTGGTACAAAAACACAAATTAACAAGTTTACTGATTTTTTAAATTGCATTTCACAACTGTGCTATGATTTTCATGCAATTCATTTAGCAGTCACCATTGAAGGATTTGGGGGGGGGGGGCAAAAAAGAAATCTACAATCTTAAACATTCACAGATGATCAATACTGCTACAAATTCAATCACCATATTTACGATCACCATTGTCTGCAAATAAACAGTCACTCCATTTCATAGTAAATCCTGTGAAGTGCTTTGAGGCTTCCTTCCGACATAAGCCGCTTTACCAAATGTTAGGTTTATTATTATTAGTGCCAATATACGTACCTTCTCCTGTCATGTACTTTTTGAAGAACTCATCCCAGGATGGAAAGCAGGGCAGTAAAGGATTATTCTGATAGAAGTGATAATAGGAAACTGCATTGTCCTTGGGATTACGAAGCAAAACAAGAATCTGTGGAAAAGTGATTAAACAAATCTTGTCTTAATCTGTTTCTGAATCCAGCCCTTTGTAAAGACAACAACAACAAAGTTACACTTATAGAGCGCAATTCACGTCGGGAGGATGTCCCAAAGCACTGAACAGTTAGGTGACGGGGCCCAAGCATGTGGGAGGGATGGTGTAGGGTGAGGGAAGACAGAGAGGCGGGAGGGCGACCAAAGGCACGATAGAAGGGAAAGACTAAAAGAACATCACACTCGACTCTGAATTTCCATGCGTCTTGTGTGTCAGTCCAGCTGAGTTACAAGGTTGTAGGTTGTACATCCTCACCCCAAACCTATAGCCTTAGTAGCCTTATAAAGTGACAGTCATACCTTTGTTTTCTTCTCACTAATAGACTTTGGCAAGTTGTCATAGTGACTGTGTGTTCCATAGAGTCGGGGAGAAGGGTGCCTTTTCATCTCCTTCAATAAATAAGCAAATAAGCCTTGAGAAAAACACAATTTATTATTCTATCGGGAAAAATAATCATATCCAGCCTCAAAGTAAAATTTGGATTATGAGGAAATACTCAAATTTTAGGACTATTGTATTCAAATCTTTCAGCCAAGTTATCAACAATAGTAGAAAAGATTTTGCTGAGAATTTTACACAACAAAAATGTACAAGCAAGGAATTTGTAGTGAGAATTTTTAAATACCATCATGACAATCTATTCTATACATTTCTATTGGTTAATTAGATTTGTTTTGACTTAACCGTTAAGATGCAGATGACCTGAATAATTACTGAATTGTTAGCGTTCTTCAGTTGAACGTCAACAAGACCAACTGATTGGCTCTCGTCAGCACCTCTACACCTCATGCATTGGCAGCATCACCATCCATGGATTCACACTCCACTTTACTAAGCCAGTCCAAAACTTTCTTGTCTTGTTTGACCCTCAAATGTGGAGTCCTATAGCTCAGTGGTTAGAGCACTCGCCTTGCAAGCGAGACACCTGCGTTCAATTCCAGGCAGGGCAAAACCTTGGGCAAGTTTCCTTACTCCACGCACCTAATAGTAATCCCTCCCAAAAACTATAATAAATTGTTCATTTTCAATCCACGACTGTTTGTGGGACACTGCTGTGCGCAATTGGCTGCCGCGTTTCGCCCATAAATATACAGTCAATTCACTTTACAGCATATTCTGTGAAGCACTTTGAAAAGTCTAGAAGACATGAAAAGCGCTATATCAAATGCAAGGATTATTATTATATATTATTATAACTGTCCTTTCTACCCCACATCTGTGCCGTGACCTGTTCTGCCTTCCCCCATCTCCACAATATTGCCTGGCTGCACCACTGTCTCACACCACAGGCCACTAAAACACTCATATACACATTTATAACATCCAGGGTTGACTAGGCAAACTCCCTGCTTGTCGGCCTCCCCAGCTCCTTCCTCCATATCCAGAAATCTGCAGCTCGTGTCCTCTCCCGCACCAGCCTCCTTGACGCCATCACTCCCATCCTTGCCAGACTCCACTACCTTCCCATCACACAGGATACAGTTCAAAATTGTGGTCCTCACCTTCAAAGCCCTACATGGCATTGGTCCCCCCTATCTCTGTGACTTCCTAAACACGTACCAATCTGCCTAAGTTTAAAGATATAATACATAATTTCCAGTGATCACATATTCCCTTGAAAAATAAAAACACCACGGGAAAAGTGGTTCAACTTTGGCTAACTAGAGAAGTTAGGGAAAGTATAAAATTAAAAGAAGAGGCCTATAATACTGCCAAAAAGAGCAGTAAACCTAAAGATTGGGAGGGTTTTAGAGATCAGCAAAGGGAAACCAAGAAACTGATTAAGAGGGAGAAAATTAAATATGAGGGTAAACTAGCTAGTGTAGTTTCGCTCCCTTTTGCAGTGAAGCAACTCGTCTATCCAGCTTCATTTATCTAATAGCCCTCCTGCTGTAATTCGCCTTCAGAGGTTAAAAATACACAACTATGAACTTGCTTCACACATACCTCAAATTTCTCAGGAGTTCCAAACTCCAGCATTGCAAACTTTCTGGTTAATGCATAGTTCTGTTCTTCTTCGTCATTTGCATGGACAATGTCCCAAAGCATGTGATGTATCCAATTAAACCCTGGTGTGTGCAAACAGGTTAATGAAAAAAACGAAATACTGTGTAATATTACTTGTTACATGTTAAAGTCAGTCAACAAACAGAAATCCCCAAATAGCCTTTGAGGAAATTGCTTATTCGTTACTACATATGAACTTGAGTCAGAATATCACACGTTAGTCAGTTTGCTCTCAGGTCAAGTTGTTTGTGTGACTGAACTGCTGTTATCAACCTCCATTCACTCTGAATGTATTAGAATCAATATATTTTAATTGGTGTATTGATTTCTGACTTGGATCATTTTTGTGTATAGGTCTGATGGCCTGTACCGCTTGAACAGAACAGTTAGATTACATGAGCCAGGGGTAATTATTTATTTTCAGAATCTGAGCACCCACTTGTCTGTTCCAATAGCTTTTTCAGGACTAAGCCTTTCATTGAATGAGATTCAAGTTTAACTTCACTGAGTTGTTAGATTTTGGCAAGACTTTTGGTCCGTGGGATTCTTGAATGACTTTTTAGAATTTATAGTATAGTAATTGTCTTAACCGGAGTAGAGTGTGTGTGTGTGGGTGGGTGGGGAGGAGAGATGTTTCATCTTCCACCAGACCTTAAAATCCTGTAGATATGCTGTTGCACTTCTGATGAGCTGAAAATAAGCACTTTTCGTATGAAACTTCATAAGAAGAAACTTCTTTTTTTTTCTCCTGTCTATCACCCCTTAATACCAATCTGCCTGTAGGTGTCCCAATAGCTTCTTCCTGTAATACCCATTGGGACACAGACATCTGAACAATGACATGTACAGTGCCTCTCCACAAAACTTTCTTATGAACTGCTTAATGTGGCCCGTTGGTAGATAGTCAGGAACACCAGTTAAACCTAGCTTCATCACAGGATCATAAGAGAGATTCAGTCTTTCAAAGTAACCACCCTCCCCTTCTTCCATTGCTCGTCTGAGCGGAGGGAGCAAGCAGGTTGGTAGGGAGGTCACAGAGGTAGGGTGGAGCGAGACCACTGAAAGCTTTGTAGGTGAGGACCAGGATCTTGTACTGGATTCTCTGAGGGATAGGGAGTCAATGGAGTCAGGTGAGAATGGGGGAGATGGAGCCACGGAGTTTGGTGCGGGAGAGGACACGGGCTGCAGAGTTCTGGATTATCTGCAGTCTGGGGAGGGAGGAGTTGGGAAGGCCGACAAGCATAGTTGAGTCTGGAGGTGATGAAGGAATAAACAAGAGTTTCAGCAGCCTGAGGGGTGAGGTAGTGGCGTAGTCGGGTGATGTTACCGAGGTGAGGAAAGGGAGAGCGGGTCATGGCTTGGATGTGGGGAAGAAAAGACAGTTGAGGTCAAACAAGACACCCAGGTTCCTGACTGGTTGGTGAGTTGAAGTGTGCAACAATGGAGGTTGATGCTGCCAGAGCCTGATGTGCAGAGGCGTTGGCGTGAGCCAATCAGGAGGGCCTCAGTCTTGTTCACATTCAACTGTAGGAAGTTTGTCCTCATCCAGGACTTGATGTCCGACAGGCAGTCTGTCAGGACAGCAGGGTCCTGGACTTGAGGGTGGAGGCAGAAAGATAGAGTTGGGTGTCATCCGCATACATATGGAAATTGACCCCATGTCTGATGATGATGTCCCAAGGGGGAGCATGTAGATATTGAAGAGGAGAGGGCCAAGGACAGAGCCCTGGGGGACGCCAGAAATGACAGTGCGGGGCCTGGAGGAGAAACCGTTCGAGGCAACAAAGTGGAGATGGTGAGAGAGATAGGAATCGAATCAGACAAGGGCAGGTCCGCGAAGATTAAGTAAGGAGGAGAGGTGGTGTATGAGGATAGAGTGGTCGACAGTGTCAAAAACTGGTTTAGCTTGTGAGAGAAACAACAAACAGTGAAATAAAAGAATGAATTAAACCATTACATTTGTTTTTCTGGAGCTCCTAAAGAAACAAAAAAAGTCTTGACAAACAGTAATGTTTATTTTCACAAAGAAGGGTTTCTTACCGCATTTGGGATAAGCTGAGAACAACACGTCTTCTCTCCTGGCCTGGAAAGTTAGACGCTGGGTCAGGGTCTGCTCTGAGCTGAGCAGTGTCGGGTACAGCAGCCCCTTGTACCTGAAGACCAGCTCTTCAGGATTCATGGACTGGGCTTTCTCAATCACCTTGTCCACCCGCTGCTGGAAGCTCTGCCACTCACTTGCCATCTCTCGTGGCTGCTGTCAGTGGAGATTGTTGATTGCTCGCTGCTATTATAGAGAATGCCTCTAGCTACAGAGCAGAGCTCTCACTTCCCTGTCTCAGGGCTGAAGTGTCGGTGTTGCCCATGCGATTGGAGGGAACTTTGCCAAGGCTAAGCTAGAGTAGAGCAGTTTCCACCTCTTTGGGCTCAGGACCAATTTGTAATCCTCTGACGCCAAATGATCCAGCAAATAATAATAATGATGCACTAAGCAGTAATGGAATTTCCCACCATAATCACACATTATCCGAGGCACTGCATGCAACACTGAACAGAACTGTTATTGCATAATGTGGCAATATCCCAGGATTACTTCCTATTTTGAAATCCTATGGTGTCACAATATGGCTTAATAGGCAGGTTTTTTCTTGCCATTAGTATCAGCTTATAAATCCCCCCCCAAAAACTTCCATGCCTTTATCACCTCAAGGCTGGACTATGGGAACTCTCTCCTCGTTGGCCTTCCCGCCACCTCCCTCCACAAGCTGCAGGTCATTCAGAACTCTGCAGCTCGTGTACTGTCCGGCACCAGGCTTCACGACCACATCACTCCCACGCTCATTCGCCTCCACTGGCTCCCCATCCCCCAGAGGATCGAATTCAAGATCCTCATCCTCGCCTACAAGGCCATTCACGGCCTTGCTCCCTCCTACCTCTCCGACCTACTATCCCCTATCTACCTGCCCGTACCCTCCGTTCCTCTGGCTCCGGTCTGCTCCACATCCCCCGCCCCAACTGCCCTACCATCAGTGGTCAGGCCTTCAGCCTCTCAGCCCCTAGGCTCTGGAACACTATCCCCCAGTGCCTTCGCCTTGCTTCCTCCCTTTCCTCCTTCAAGGCCGGTCTCAAGACCTTTCTCTTTGACCGTGCCTTCAGCTCCCCTCTCGACTCTCTACCCCTCCTCGCTCCCTCCCTTCCCTCCCCTCACCCTGACCATTTCCCCCCTGCTCGGGTCCTGACCCAACTGTACAGCGCCTTGGGACGTCCTCCCGACGTGACAGGTGCTCTATAAATGGAATCTTGTTGTTGTTGTTTTGGTGTCACACTCCCAGTTATTATGTAGAAGAACTCAGCCCATTCTTTTCAGTATATTCCTGTAGGTGTTTATGTCCATTCTTGCCTGAGAGCTGATTTGAAGATTCCTCAATGGTCTGTGTGGTTATGAAGAAAGCTCTGTTCCACCTCTTTCAGTTCTTCATTGAGAATCATCACACTCTCATCGTCAATGTGTTGGTTCCAGTTGAGTCCAGGATCCAAATAGGAGCCTCAGGGAACTGGTACAAGCAATGAGAAAATGTCATAAGAAATAAACATATACATTTACTTTGTGAGATTTCTCAATCATTTAAAGATGAGCTCAACTGACCTGGGGTCATGGGTGGAGATAGAGTTGGGTGACATCCGCATACATGTGGAAATTGACCCCATGACTGCGGATGACATCACTGAGCTGGAGCATGTATAGATTGAAGAGGAGGGGACCGAGGACAGAGCCCTGAGGGAGTTCAGGCATGTGACAATCCGGGGGCTAGAGGAGAAGCCGTTGATGGATAACAGATATTTATCACCCATCACCTTATGATACAACATGTTGGAGTAACACCACACCACCAACCTGCCTCAGAGCATAGTGCTTAGGCTAAGTGTTAAAAATATAGGCAAATACCTTCTTTGATAATAAATGCATGCAAAGATTGTACTGGGAGATTTGTACTGGGAGATCCACTTATCTCCCAGTATACTGGTAACAGGGAGGTATCACAGACCACAGGTGGGCTGTGTTCCTGATTCCCAGATATTAACTCTCCTTTTCTGTGGTAGTGCTGCTACTACCTTTGTTAAGGCCATTTAGAAGCTGATTGTTTCCTGTTGATCAATATACTTCTTAAATTCAAAATCTTTCACAGACTATTTGGGGCTCCACCAATTCCCATAGGGACTCTTCACATAATATTGGCAAACAACTGAAATGACAAATAGTCCAATTAAATCTGTGATCATAATGCTCTTTGTTGGTGATTTTAGCTTGCAGCTCCACTAAAACTGCACGTTTACCCTTGTTGACCGTTCAGTGCTCAGACCCAAACCTACATGACTCCACTATAAAAGTTGTTGTTTTTATGTATCTGCTTTAAACGTGTAAGGACCAACCGTATAGAATGATTCACTCCAAACCTAGGCAGTTTAGACATGAAATCACAACAATATTATGTTTGGCAACGGTCTGACTGGATAAACATTCAGTGGTCAAATTTGTGATATTGCTAAACTCATCACATTCCTTCAGTAAGGAATGTGGCTATAATGTGTTTGAAATACCGCCTGACTTCTGAATAACAGTAGATATCAAAGCAGACTGAAAAGCCGGGATGTTGAATTATCGCCTGGTGAAGTTGTTGTTTTGGACAATGGCAGCACTCTTTCAGAAGCAACAACAACTTGCATTTCTATAGCACTCTTCGTGTAGGGGAATGTCTCGAAGCACTTATCAATTTGGTTAAGTCATCATCCTGTAAATTAATATTAAGAGGTCCTAACGCAGGACTGAAAACTTCAACCCAGCCTCGAAAGCACTTGCAACTGGGATTCAAACCCTGGACTGTCCAGCGCCTTGGAAATGTGCTATATAAATTTCAATTTGTTGTTCCCTTAGAATCCAAAGAGCAGAAAAAGTTCCTAAGAAAAGAATAAACTGTAAATAAACATAACGTTATAGTTAAGCACATAATCTATTTGATAAAGTGGCAATAGCGTGAGAATAATCCGATCAAAGGTATTGCAGCAGGATTAGTTTTGCTCCTCGTATCTCAAAGATCTAGCTGTCTGGGCCTGATCCTACATGAAGGCATATTATCAATGCAAGTTATTGCTGATATAAAGAGTAGAGGTGCAATGTAGACAATGAAAATGTTTTGCCCCTTTTCTTTTAAATTAACCGTTCCCCAAAGAGGGATACATTTCTTGGGAGTTTTCACTCATAGACATGGATGAGCCTCTTCTAGTGTCCTTTTGAAGCTGTTCCTCAGTCAGTCCAAAAATGCTGACTCACATATGAATAAAACTTCCTTTCAGTATTACACACATTGCTTTTGGCAGCACTAAGCAGTAATGGAATTTCCAACCATAATCACACATCATCCGAGGCACTGCATGCAACACTGAACAGAACTGTTATTGCATGATAATAATAATAATAATAATCCTTGCATTTGATATAGCGCTTTTCACGTCAGGAGGACGTCCCAAAGCGCTTCACAGAACACACTGTAAAGTGAATTGACTGTATATTTGTGGGCGAACGCGGCAGCCAATTGCGCACAGCAATGTCCCACAAACAGTCGTAGATTGAAAATGACCAATTTATTATTGTTTTGTTTTTTTGGAGGGATTATTATTAGGCGTGTGGAGTAAGGAAACTTGCCCAAGGTTTCGCCCTCTGCCTGGAATTGAACTCAGGTCTCTCACTTGCAAAGCGAGTGCTCTAACCACTGAGCTACAGGACTCCACTCCATGATGTGGCAATATCCCAGGATCACATCTTATTTGAAATCAGTTCCCTATGGTATCACAATATGGCGTAATAGGCAGGTCTCCTCTTGCCATCAGTATCAGCTTAAAAATTCCCCCCAGAAGTTTTGGTACAATGCTCCTGGTTAATATGTAGAAGAACTCAGCCCATTCTTTTCAATGTATTCCTGTACGTACTTATGTCCATTCCTGCCTGAGACCTGATTTGAAGATTCTTCAATGGTCTGTGTGGTTAGGAAGAAAGCTCTGTTCCACCTCTTTCAGTTCTTCATTGAGAATCATCATTGTCAATGTATTTATTCCAGATGAGTCAATGATCCAAGTTGGAGCCCCAGGGAACTGGTACAAGCAACGAGAAAACATCAGAAGAAATTAACAAATACAACAACAACATTACATTTGCTTAGCGCCTTTCACGTCAGGAGGACGTCCCAAGGCGCTAGATAATCAAGCTGTTCGGACCCAAGCTGGGAGTGAGAGGAAAGGTGGCGGAGGAGGATAGAGTGGTCAACGGTATCGAAGGCAGCAGAGAGGTCAAGGAGGACGAGGAGGCAGAGGGAGCCCTGGTCACAGATGGATAAAAATGTAATTTGTCACTTTGACCAAAGCTGCTTCTGTGCTATGGATGGCACGGAAACCCAATTGAAGGGAGTGGCGGGAGAGGAAGGAGCAAAGCTGGGAAGCAACGACTCATTCCAGGAACTTGGAAAGGAAGGTTGGAGATGGGGTGGTAGTTTGAGGGCAGGGATGGGTCCAGAATGAGTTTTTTAAGGATAGAAGTGATGACCGCTGTTTTTAGAGGAGTGGGAATGGTGTCAGTAGACAGGGGGAGGTTTATTTTGATTGTGACTAGGGGGTAATGAGAGGAGAGAGACGTCAGTGGAGATAGAGCTGGAGGGTGTGAAGTGCAGGTTGAAGTTGCTTAGGATGAGTAGGGGTTCGGAGTAGAGGGAAAGGGAAGATAAGAAGGTGGAGAGGAAGATGGTGGGGGTGTTTGGGGGTTGATAAACGAGGAAGATTTTGAGGAAAAGGCTGGAGGGATGGTAGATGGTAAGGTGCTCAAAAAAGGGCAAGGTTCCAGAAGAGTAAAGGGATAGGCCGAATGGGGACCGAGAGATGAGAGCCACACCTCCAGCACAGCAGTTAGGTCATGGGGTATGGTGGAAGGTGTAGCTGGTTGGTGTGGCCTCAGTCAGGGTGACCCAGGTTTCAGTGAGGGTGAGGATATCAATGTTTTCATCGACAATGAGGTGCTGGATGGTTAGCGTTTTGCTGGAGAGGGAGCAGATATTTTGTAGGCCAATACAGTAGGGACAGCTGGTGGTGGAGGAATGGGCGAGACGAGGGGGAGGATTGACAGGGAGGGTGGGGATGTGGGTAATTTACTGGGTTAAATTATCCACATCCCCACCTTTCCTATCTCAATCATGTAAAGACGAGAACAAAATCCAATTCAACATATTGTACAAGTTGTTGGTA